ATAGCGCTATAGAAATTATTAAATTATTATCAATATACTCTGTAGTATAACATGAGCAAATTTACCTACTTAGAARGTTCGATTGTTTATGTTGCTAGGCCATTCTGCCTCGTGACCTTTTTGCTTTTGTTTTTGACAGTCTGTAATGCTACAGCTCTTGGTATGGAATCYAAAACCATTCCAAACTACAGAATTGTCGCTTCCTCCTTCCTGAGCAATGGCCACGCCCCATGGCGTGGAAGATTRAATGCACGACCCCAAATGCCGTACGATGCTAGTATAGAYGCTGCTGCCTGGCAGGCTAGCCACCGTAAGGCAGGGGAATATCTGCAGGTAGACCTTGGMAGTATTTACGAAGTTCCCAAGGTAGCGACCCAGGGGAGACCACATATGCACAGTGCCTGGGTTTCCTCGTACAGCCTGTCTTATGCAGTCACTAATGGCAATTTCATTGACTACAAGGTTCACGGGGCACTCAAGGTAAGTYTCTACATAACCGGAAAATATATTTTATTTYATTTGTTTATTTTTTAATGTGCCTGCCTCTTCTCTTYCAATAGGTCTTCCCAGGAAACTTTGACCGCGACACTATTGTGACAAACAAGCTTCCAGTGACCGTCAGATTTCGCTATATTCGATTTGTGGTTGTAACCTACTCCGATATTCCAGCGATGAGAGCCGAGATTTTCGGATGCTGATGCATTAAAAATTTTTGTACTTCTTTACGAACACGCCTTACGTAAAAAAAAACATCACAGAACCTCATGGAAAGGAAAACATGGGTCTATTTAATCAAAAAATGTCTGCAAAAAGATATCATGAACTAACGTTGAAAGTTATCCTTGAGCAGTATAGTTGACTGATTTCGAAAAGTACATATGTAGCCGACTTACGCCTTGAAGCCTTATATACAAAGTCTTTTAACGGCCATCAAATCACGGKATGAACGCAAGGATTTGTACAAGATTTGTAATTTTAATTGACTAGACTTTCTTTTGTCCACCGTAGACGCCTATCCACTWCTACATCTATTCATATTTTTATTGTGATGCCTGACCGCTTCGCTCTTATAATTCTATGTATGAATTCTATCTCGCTCATTGTTTGGTGATGCTGTAGACAGCGAAAGCTTGGAGTCATTCGTACTATTAAAGATCTACTCTCAGCAGCTTCGGCTACATATGTACTTTTCGAAATCATATCATGCACTATTTTGACTTTAAAATGAAGATTATAATTTCTCAATATCTTCATTTTTGCAGTGTTTTTTTAAAGGTTTATTTGTTCTCCTGTAGCTTAATTTCACACGATGTCACTTGATAAAACTCCTAGGATTTTATGTTAAGTCACCATTCTAGAACRCGAGCATTGGTACAAAGTTCTGAATAGTTACAATTTAGGCATTCCTATTCATGGTATTCATGGTTTTTTTTATTCTTGAACGGCAGGAGGAAGCACTAGCTTAAAAACGTGAATCCAAAATATTTCCAGAATAGCGCCTTATTAATTTTTCAAGCTATGTTTTCAAGCATTTTCATAAATTGATTAAAGCGATGAAGACAAACACTTCACGCAGAAGTATACTCCTTATTGTTAAAAAATTACCCCACATGTATTTGCTATATACTTTTGATCGTAAATAGATAGATAAAAAATGTGGTCCCATATCGTTCCTTTTAATTAGTAGTTGTCAYGGATACGGTGTTTGAAACAAATGAGAAACGAGTTTTTTTTTACCGAATTGTGATATTACGCGGATGAAAGAGAGTGGAAATCGAGTTATTTAACATATAGGAACATACATGTATTCGATTAGCCGATAAGATGAATGTTTTAAAATCGCATTTATTTAAGCAATCATTGAATAGCAATCTCTAGATAATCAAGTTATATTCAAAACATTCTCTTGCGTGAATTACAGCACATCTTGTTCAAATAACTGGCGAACTACCCACTGGGGAACTGAGAACAATACACAATTCCACAATGAATTGAACTAAATAATGCAATGCAAGTTATAATTCACTTTATTCTTCTCGGCTTTTCCGTATGATTGTGAAACAGTAAAGATCACGGCACGTAAACCACGTTAAACGAAAACGAACCATAACTCCAAGACTGGCATCAAAACTGAGGGTAAGATATATCTGACAGGCGCAAATGTTGTATTGTTTAACTGTCNAACATTCTCTTGCGTGAATTACAGCACATCTTGTTCAAATAACTTGTCGAACTACCCACTGGGGAACTGAGAATGTATTAGAAAAACAATACACAATTCCACAATGAATTGAACTAAATAATGCAATGCAAGTTATAATTCACTTTATTCTTCTCGGCTTTTCCGTATGATTGTGAAACAGTAAAGATCACGGCACGTAAACCACGTTAAACGAAAACGAACCATAACTCCAAGACTGGCATCAAAACTGAGGGTAAGATATATCTGACAGGCGCAAATGTTGTATTGTTTAACTGTCCTAAGTTTCGAAATGGTAAAATGATGCAATAGCTCAAAACGTATTCAATTTTCCCCTTCCCCTTGCAAAGAATAACACATTTTGTTCAAAAGCTGTTCAAAAGCTGCTCTAAGACATCACAGGATCAAACTGCGTTTATTTTTTCGGTTTACACTCTATGTGTATATCTTCCAACTGGCTTTCCCCGCTTAAACCACTCATTCCTGCGATCCAAGATCTTTGAAAACTTAGTGCAATTGGCAACGAATTCAGGGCGCCATTTTAAGGATATATGGTCGGTAATTTGCCATTATTTAAAGGCTCGCCAATATGAAAAAGACGTCTCACATTCTYGTTGGCTGGATTTCCCTTGGCCTGGTCCTGACCRATGTCCAGGCCTCATGCAGTAATAACTCCGTCCAGGAAAGGTTTGTCCTTCAAGGTAATCTCCTAGCGTCAATGCTTGTCACCAGTCAAGCACAGTGCGAGATGAAATGCAAAGAGAAGTCAGGATGTTTTAGTATCAACTACTACAAGAAACAGAAGAATTGYCATCTCAACAAGGCAACGCATCTTTCAAGACCYCTGCACCTCGTGTATGACATGGGAGGGGTTTACATTAAGATAAAGAATGATTATTGCAGTGATGCATACTGCAGTACTGGACACATTTGTTTGATTGACAGCKCTAAAGACGATTATRTCTGTAAAGGTAGGGATAAAATGAAGTTAGTTAAAGTGTCCATAATTTGCTTGGTTATTAGGTCGTCATAATATAGTTTGAGAGTGGTTTATTTTCATCACAGTTGATGTTCAGTCTKACCCTGGTTGAACGTTGTTGTTATGTCTTGGTCGTCGACCCTTATGCTTGCTTGTGTTGTAGTYGGRTTTTACAGATCGACAAKTGTTGTACCATTTGACCGTTTTCCTGGTATATTATTTAATGCTATATTGTGTTTTCCTGGCTTACTCTCTAGTCTGCAATACCCCGCTTGGTTTAGAATCAGGAGCCATTCCAAACAACAGGATCTCTGCTTCCTCCTTCTATGGCTCTGGTTGTGAGCCATGGCGAGGACGACTCAGGATGCAACCCAAAATGCCGTACRACCATGATGTAGATGTTGGTTGCTGGATAGCTAAAAACAAGGTTGCAGGGGAATATCTGCAGGTGGATYTTGGGAATGTTTACCGAGTTACCATGGTAGCAACCCAGGGAAGACCATACACATGGCATAATATGATTACCTCATATAGCCTCTCTTATGCAATCAGTGCTGGAAATTTTATCGACTACGAAGTTGACGGTGTACGCAAGGTAAGTGCTTTTTGCTTTGCAACAAACTTATGAAATAAAATTGTAAATAACTAAAGGGTTTTGCTTTTAATGTAGATCTTCCCTGGGAACACTGACCGTGACACTATTGTGACAAACAAGCTACCAGAGGCAGTCAGATGTCGTTATATACGAATTGTTGCTGTTACATTTGGTCAGTATATTCCAGGGATGAGAGCCGAGATCTACGGTTGCCCTGATAACTAGATCAAAGACTGAATAAGAGGCAACTTTCGATGTTTCTTGATTCACCAAAGCACAAAAGGATAAACACGTTGAGCATGACCATTCAGGGCCGTAGTCAGAATGAATGAATAACCGAGGCAAGCGACCGCCAAAGGTGGGAGGAACTAGAGGGCATTCTCGGAAATGCGATTTGAAGCGTTTTGTGGTCCTTTTGGTAACTATTTATTCAACAGACTTAACCGGAATTTATCATGCAATATTTATGAAACAAAGAAGCTATACGTACAAGATTAATATTTTTTGCACAAAATCAGTCGTACGAAATCGGCTCTGAGAGACTGAAATGATATCACTGATGAAAAACAAAAAAACATCGGCGAAATTTTAGCGAGGCGTGTGCCTCGGTTGACCTCACTCTTACTAGCTACGAACCAGCCATTAACATAGAATATCATCAAACGTTCTAACGCTTGCTTTTCACTTTTTTATAAGGTTCAGANATGAGAGCCGAGATCTACGGTTGCCCTGATAACTAGATCGAAGACTGAATAATAGGCAACTTTCGATGTTTCTTGATTCACCAAAGCACAAAAGGATAAACACGTTGAGCATGACCATTCAGGGCCGTAGTCAGAATGAACGAATAACTGAGGCAAGCGACCGCCAAAGGTGGGAGGAACTAGAGGGCATTCTCGGAAATGCGATTTGAAGCGTTTTGTGGTCCTTTTGGTAACTATTTATTCAACAGACTTAACCGGAATTTATCATGCAATATTTATGAAACAAAGAAGCTATACGTACAAGATTAATATTTTTTGCACAAAATCAGTCGTACGAAATCGGCTCTGAGAGACTGAAATGATATCACTGATGAAAAACAAAAAAACATCGGCGAAATTTTAGCGAGGCGTGAGGCAAAATATTGCCTCTTTGATATCATATATATATACTTAGAATATGAGTCAAAATGATCATAATCTCTGCATATAACATTCCATATCAATCATATCGGCAAAAATTATGGCACGCGAGATTTGATACCTATATGTCATACCATATCTATGGCAAGCACGTGACGAAATGATTTATCATCCCCAAGTACTATATTTCAGTTATATTAAAAATTATAATTGAAATGAAATTTTACCGCTGGATCGTAACGGGAAGCCACATTCCAATTTCATTTTAAATTCAAATTATCAATTCAATTTATCATCACTTCATGACGGCCATCCAAGAGTTGATATCAAGAGCGTATGCTCGTCGATAAAATAAAGAACGCTTTTGGACCAATCAGATGGCGTTAAAGAGGGAATGTATATTATATGAATGTCATTAATCGGTCCATCACCCAWCAGGATAACAGGTACAATCCAACTGAACCATACAACCAACCGTACGTTAATCAAGCAATTCCGCGCTTACTGATTTCAGAATATAATAAAAACGCATCGACCCAAAAGATGTTAATTTACTTCAAGATAAACTGAGACTGAAGATAATTTGTTGCAAGACAGGTAACGAGGCCAAAATAAATTAGCGAATCGATCCGCAAGATTTATTTAAACTTATCGTGGTAAATAGGCGTGGTCGGGACCCTACCGTCGAGTGGTTTGACATTGAAATCTTCTATTTCAATTGGTGAATGATTTATACGTTTGTGTTAAACTTAGAAACGAACTTCGAAGTCACTGTCTGGCGTAGTGTACGAAAAGTCGGAAAGATTATCAAACTCCCCMTACGCCGAAATGTTTTTATTTTCTTTACACCCGGCAAGATATAACACATCAAGTCACTATGAAATTTTAGATACGACCACGGAACTTCTAGACGCGTGTTACTTCATTAAAAAAGCTTTTAAACTCGAGCACTTCTTAGGAATATGTTCTTGACTTAGAAGAGTAAAATAGACATCGAAACGGAGAAGCATCTTGAAGAAAACCCATGATCTGATCGTCTCCTCTGTTATGATATAAGAATATATAATGACTTGTTTAGAAATGGCCTGCTGGGATACTAGTAACTGGATAACGACTGCCTACGCTCAGGGTATTAAAAGTCAATWAATTAAAAGATTCCAAGTATCCTTAGATTCAAAAATTCTCCCGAATTCAAGAAAAACATGAGATCCCTTTTGGGAGTATATATTTTGCTTTCCACGTCAATCAAAATATGTTAATATTTACTGTTAAATGGCTTCCCATTTTGCCACCTGTCAAACTTCTTCTAAGCTGTGTTGTGATTGGTTGTTTACGTTCGGTGTTCACAAACATCCCAACCCTTAAGTTGAAACTTCAAAATAGGTTGGAATATGGCGTAAACTTTGCAGGAAAAAACTTCCAAAAATACACCAAAAAGGGGAAACGTTTGGACTAAATTTAGGTAAGAAGTTTACAAAAGTGACATTTGAGATTTGCTCTATAACAAATTGTTAAACTTGAGGRGTTTGGAAAGTCATTTCGAGTGSCCTTCATCTTCACGACAGGCTATTTTCATGGTAGGGTGAACTCAAGGATGTGTCCTTATTTTGAACAAATTGATAAATATGTCTTTTGAGAGATACTCTAGGCGTTCAAACGATTGGTAACGTTTGATAAAACAAACTTTCGCTGACAGTGATCTTTCAAACGTCTGGTTATTGTTAATTGGTTGGTTGGGGATTTCTGATCAAGACAATGTCAAAAATCAAAKTTCAAACTAGGTTTCATCGCTAAAGCTGTGAATTGCTTCGTTTTGTAGTTCGTCTTGGAAAGGGGTTGAGTTTTTTCCCGAAGGCCGACTGCAACTTAGCAGGGCTGGCACTGTCTAACTAATGGAATGTGGAGACTAATACTCTTGCGGATTTTGATTTATTTGSCTGCGACGGTTTGGTTTTCAAATGGACAATATGTAAGTAGAAAAACTTTTATTAAAACGAAATTCTACGTATGTATAGATATGTATGCGTTTCAGCGTGGAATATAAAAATGATGCATATACACAAAAATATACGTAGAGTTTCGTCTCTAATTATGGTAATAATGGCTGTAATAATGACTCTAAATTAGAAGAGAATGTTAAAAAATTGCGAGAATTAAGAAGAAAAAACAGTTCAAAACTTACTTATAAGAAGCAATCCTTATAAAAATTAGCAAAACAAGATTTTTCAACATTTAATTCTACATTTAATCAAGGGTTTAAAATTTTCACAATTACTTCTTAAAATGCAGTAAAGGTAGTCACGAAACTTAAGAAATTGACGTATTTAATGTTTTACGACCGTTTTTTTATAGCGCATCGCACTTAGTCTGGCAACTGACTTTAAGAGAGATTATGTCTCGACTTACAAAACCGTACTAAATCAAATGAAGGGGAAATATAGCTAATGACAAAAACCCTACATACGCGAAATTTTCAAGATATTTATTATATTTCCACTCAGTGAGCACCAACTGACCCATTTTATTGAAAGCAAATAACTTTAAAAAAWTTCAAACCCGTAAAAAAATTGCACAATTTCATTAAAAAAAAGAAATTTAAATCCCTTCTATTGATGCGTTAATATTTTGCAAATTTCAAGCGTTAAAACTTCGCAAATTCAAACGCCCCCTTTTATAGAATGTCAAAATATTGCATTTTTTTGTAGGAAATATGACGCCGGAAATGACAGTTTACATATTTCGTTGCTTAAGTCTAGTTCCTTGTGTCAAACAACATATTCTAAACTTTTACAAATAGATATGAATGTAGGCCGAGGGTACTATATCTGAGAGAGAGCGCTTTTTTGTTTTAAAGTCTGAACTCGAAAAAGGTGTTAAAAAGATGGCCGGGTAAGTATTTATTTAGGGCAAGAACTATTTCGCTTCAGTGGTCTGTAAATGTTGAAAGAATGACTTGAATACACAACCGGTTGATGTTTTGGAAATTACAAAATCGCTGAGCTAGAAATTCTCTGTCATTTCAATTGAATAACAAAAATAAGGTCAGAAATCGTGAGTTTTCACAACAATAAGAATTACATAACTTCAACACACAATATTTGAACCAGCTAGTCTACAAGACTTKTGTCCAATACCTCCTTTCTAGTATTTGAATACCAAGACGATGCTTGTATAGCAAAAATATARGAAAATATTGTTTATTCAAATATAAAAAAATCGTTTGTAACAAAAAATATCTTCAAAAAATATGTTCAAAAAATGCTTTCAAACCATTAAAAAACTATATCAAAAGCGCTCTTCCACTTAGAATTTAATTGTGCTTGTTAAACTGGTAAAAAACAATTAATTTCATTGAACAAATTGGTGCAATTTTGTTTGAAAAGCTAGTTTGTGTAGTCTGGGATGTTCAAGTGGAACASACCGTACGTAACAACATATATTGTTACGCTTTTCGAGAGTTTTTTCAGCGAGGTTGACAAAATATCACAAGCAGCAGTTTTGAGGGTTTCACACTTCGTTGCAAATGTCAAGAGGCAGGAGCATTATGTCAATCAATCAATCAATCAATCAATCAATCAATCAATCAATCAACCAATGAACCGACCAATCAATGGATCAATGAATCCTTCAATTAAGGAGCAAAGACCTCACTATAACCTGATCAATCTATTACACTGATCATCTAACACTATTTTCCCCAATTAAACTACCAATCAATTGTCCAACTTACCAACCAACACACCTACCCACCCACCCACCATCAACCTGCTAATCAATCATCCAACCAGAGACCATCTGTCCAAACTAAYCGGCCACTCATCCAATCACTCACTCAACCACCCATGCAACTATCCAACCGAGCGATCAACCAACCAACTAACTAACCTCCCTACCCAATAAATAGACCAACCAACCAACCAATCCACCAACCGACCGACCAACTCACCAAGCAATCAACCAATCAACCAACCACTCCCTACCCAATAAATCGACCAACCAACCAATCAACCAAACAAACAAACCAACCAATCCACCAACCGACCAACCAGCCACTCCCTACCCAACAAMTCGACCAAMCAACCAACCACCCAGCCAATCAAMCAACCAACCAATCCACCAACYGACCAACCAATCAACCAGCCAAACAAACCAACAAATCCACCAACCGACCGACCAACTCACCAACCAATCAACCAACCACTCCCTACCCAATAAATCGACCAATCAACCAATCACTCAACCAACCAAACAAACCAACCAATCTACCAACCACCCAGCCAATCTACCAACCAACCAACTCGCCAACCAATCAACCAACCACCCCCTACCCAACAAATGGACCGACCAACCAACTAACCAACTTGAATCCACCAAACCAACTATCCAACCAGCCAGCCAGCCAACCAACCAACCATCCCCTACCCAACAAATCGACCAAGTGTTTCATAACTGATCACATGTTCTTCCCATAGTATCATCACTCTGGTCTTCATCATCACATGTCCAAGAGAGACTTATCGTACGTATTTGGAGTCGACGATCCTAGTGATGGTGAGTAAGATCGACACGAAAAACGGGTCTGTTAGTCGACTAAATCACTTGAAAATCGCCTTTTGAACCAAAAAAATATAACTCATTTTGTCAGTCCCAGAATACGACCTCGTTCACCCGACTCAAGTTACCTCAAMGGGAGCTTTCCTAACGCACGACCTGTCCAGACAAAGTATCCGAGAGCGTCGTAACACAAGARAGTCACCAAAAGATGACATATATTATAATTTAAACGCCTTTGGCAGTAATCTTCACTTAAGATTGGAGAGAAATCGACGGCTACTGGCACCTGACTTTCACGTCGAAKTACTCGGYMATGATGGTCGAATATTAAAACGTCACACAATGGAGAATTGTCATTGGACCGGAAAAGTCGGGTCCAGTACAYGGTCTACTGTGGCCGTTAGTAATTGCAATGGACTGGTGAGTAGCCTGCAATATTCTGTTGTTATTTTGTATTSTGAAGGAGTATACGTCATCTGTCTATTYTCATCAACAGCATGGMGTTGCACATGTAGAGGGCACTGCATTTTTTATTAAGCCAGTTCCCGATCATTTACACAGTATAACTCGGACCAACGGTAAAGGTAGACCACATTTAGTATATAGAAGAGCGTCTACAYTTTCAGCACAGCGAAGCAAGAGATCGGGCAAGAAAGAGACGGTTGAAGTGCACAGYTGTGGAACAAAAGGTATAAACACCTGGCCACMAAACKTTTTARATAGAATTTCAACGCGAACATTTGTCCTAAAATTCAAAATTGTTAAGAAAAGAATGAAGTCTCACGCCTTTCTAGAGGCAGACGAATACAGAAACACTACGGAAATTCGGACAAATATATGGCAAAAAGGTTTTATACTTATGCCTAGAATGAAATTATAATATTGCTAACTTAGAGTTCTGTTGTCGTATTTCCTTCCATAATCTTTTTACCTCTTAAGAATTGTTTTTATAGATTTAAAACAGAATTGCAAATGTTTAAGATTTTGTACTTTTTTGTTACCAAGATGATCCAAGGATTCGTCTGACCAGATCCCTTAATGAAACGGTCAAAAACGACCGTGATGGACCCGCGGGTCCTGGTGGAGAGAAATACATAGAATCCTTAGTGGTAGTYGATCCTAAAATGGCGAACTTCCATGGAATAGACGCTGCAAAACAGTACGCGCTCACTGCTTGCAATATTGTRAGTAGAACACCAAACTGTGAATTAATCCTCAATCAATAATAATGCTTATAATGGGAATTATTATCGTTTTCTTTAGGCATCAAACTTGTTGAGGGACAGCACTCTTGGAGAAAATCCTGTCAATTTTGTAGTCAGCAGAATGCAAATCCTGACAACACCACAGGTAAATAAAGTCAAAGGAAGAAAATACATTTCAAATATGCTACGTCGAATGGMTGGCCCAATCGTGCAGCCACCACACCCTAGATCCATTTTACGTAATTCAACAATGTTTCTTATTCGTAGCCTGGGCTTATTATCAACCACCACGCAGGGAATACTCTGGAGAGCTTTGGAAAATGGGCCGAGCGTAATAATAACCCATTAGACAACGATGAGAATCATTACGACTATGCAGCCTTATTGACCAGGTAATATACACTCATTGGCCAGGCAATAAGACCAGGTAACGCACATTCATTGACCAGATAATTAAGACCAGATAATATAAAATCATTGACCAGGTAATTAAGACCAGGTAATATAAACTCATTGGCCAGGTAATTAACACCAGATAATATAAAATCATTGACCAGGTAATTAAGACCAGGTAATATAAACTCATTGTCCAGGAATTCCACACCAAGTGATACAACCATTGACCGTGTGACCTGTAACGATATAGGGATCTCTTCTTCACGAGGCTAACTATTTCCTAATYATTCTAGGTACAATATTTGCAAGGACAAGAACCAACCATGCGACACTTTGGGGTTGACCAGAACACGTGGTATGTGCAACTTTCCAAACTCAGCAAGCGTGAACCAAGACAATGGCCTCATGTTGGGAATGACACTTGCKCATGAAACTGGTCACTGGTAATGACTATAATATCATTTATGTAGTCTGGTTATTCTAATTTTAACCTGTGTTACGTAGTCTTCTCTCGCATCCGTTAGGAKGCTCTTTCCCAGGTTTCTCCCCCCTAACGGACGGGAACGACTATGTGCTATGCATTTTCTAATCTATAAMGCATACGGAAGGCGCAAATGGTAATTGCACGGATTCGTGGATGTTGTTTAAAAACAATATTTTTTTTGTAGTCTTGGGATCAACCATGATGCTTCCAAGTGCAGYGATGGTAACAACATCATGTCATCCTTCGCGCCAGGGAAGGCATCGGCCTTTCAGTGGTCWGAATGCAGCAAAAATTATATTCAACAGTTTCTAAAGTAAGTAGCCTACTAATCGTCCTCATAACGTTTGACCCAAAAAAGAGTTCCATCAAATGATCACAAAAATGACCCAGGAGTGATGAGTAAGGGCAGACAACTCCGAGTTTCCAAGAATGCCCTGAAATATCATACCCCTATATAATATACCACATCTTTAAATCTAAAAGCTCTCCTGACCTAGCTTTTTCAATACTAYCTTCATACACCCCTGTCAACCTCTGCTTAATAATTATTATTATTTCATGCAGGTCTAAAGACTCCAAGTGTCTAGACGATCAACCAACCAAACGCGAGATCATCGACACYAARCCTTTTGACATGCCAGGAAGCCTGTACGACGCTGACCAGCAATGCCAGCTGGCGTATGGAGAAGAGGCCAGGTTTTGTCATGGAGATAAATTTCTTGACGTAAGTGATAACGTCATGAGTATTTTTGGTGCATATTCGGTGCATATTCGGAGCATTTTAGGTACATTTTCGGTGCATATTCGGTGCATTTTCGGTACATTTTCGGAACAGGAATGCATAATGTGTGTATGTATTGCTTCTACAGCAAGTTTGTGTAAAACTATGGTGCGAGGTCCCTGAAGGCAGTGGTAAATGTAAAACAGCTCAAGAACCTGCAGCCGATGGTACATCATGTGGTCCTAAAAAGGTACAGAAACACAACTTGCTTTCATTTGAAAAAGACAGCACCGTCGACAGAATGAAGAATCGATTTTGCTCAGCTCTATTTCACTATAGACTTCTGAAGTGTCTACGTCGCATATTAACTTGAATGCATTGTGGGATYAGTTTTTGGAGAAAACAAAAGGAATCCGCCATGTTTTCTCCAAAACATATCCTACAATGCATTGYGCATACGGTATATGACGTAAAAGTTTCAGAGGTCTATTGATTATTCATTTCCAAATATGGGTAAAATTGCTTCGGCGTTTTCRTAATTCTCCGTGAATTGTAATGCATGGTTATAACGTTACAGTGGTGCAAGCGCGGTCAATGTATAGCCCAAGGTTCTCCAGCCCCAGGTACTCAAGATGGCGGCTGGTCTAAATGGTCCGATGAGCACTCTAAATGCAGCCGCAGTTGTGGTGGTGGTGTTCAGTACAAAGAAAGAAGATGTAATAACCCAAGGTAACCGATAAGAAACTGCAAAAATATATACCCAGCCTCATCCAATATTTTTTATATCGTGCTCAGCCTCATCCAATAATTTTTCATGTTATACCTCTCCAACAATGAACATGGTGGATGATGCCCATTACTCATGTTTTTCTTAACTCAGGCACACGTTTTAAACGTCGTATCTCACATGTAACGCATGMAAGATAATAATTAGCAGGAACATTGCAATAATTTCCAAAGACTTCGTCGCATGTGAAGTTTACCGTTTTTGAAATAGATATCATATCAAAATTATCTCATTTATTGCAATTCAAGTTTAAGTTCCAAATCAATCATCCTATTTCAGACCTAAGAACGGTGGCAAGCGTTGTGAAGGACTTGACAGAGAATACAAACTTTGTAACACAAATGTAAGTACATAAACAGTGAAAGTGATTTATAAGCGTCGTTTGCGCGCGTCAAGAAWAATCGGCCTTACTACTTTTCCCGCTTTTTTGACGCGTGTACCATTTGCATTTCCCGCTCATTTTGCCACAAACGTCTACCTACAGAGCATTTTAATAGAAGCGAGTTTCAGGATGTTTCTGATTCTGGACCCATTACATACCACTGATCCTGGACAGAGGTKTGACAGTATTTATGAATTTTCCAGGAATGTCCAAAAGACAACACTCAGTTCCGTAACTACCAATGTGGGCAGCTTAACAACCAAATGTTCAATGATCAGTTTTACAACTGGGAATGGAAACCTTCAACGCTCAGTAAGATAAAAATTATAATTTCCTTTACTAGAGATAATGCTATAAACTTTATATGTCTTTTTAACCAAAATAACAACAAAAGTACAGCGGTTAACCTTGCCATTCAAATGCCATTTCCTCAGGAAAAAACTGTAAATTCAAAAAGCTAAAAAGTCGTGCTTTTCACTGAAAAGCAAACGCTACAATTCTGATCCCATTGAAAACGTCAAACAACGTTCAAATCGTCATTCAAAAGCCATTTTCCATTACTTTCAGAAAACAGTTGTGTTCTAGGGTGCTTTATTGAAGGAACTGGCTTGGGTTTTGCGTTTGGTAACGTCATAGATGGTACAAACTGCGATACGTCGTCATCAAACAAATGCATACAGGGTATATGTAAGGTATGCAACAAACACAATCACAAACATAACTCCCGAGGGGGGGGGATTTCCCTATAAAACATGGTAGGGAAGGACCTTTTAGAGTCGAAAATAAAACCCTCGAGTACCTTTYAGTTTCCAAAGCTGACTCCGTACCTTTTAGGGTCAATTTTCAGAAAGAAAATTGAAGAACGAAAAAAATTTGAAGAAGTGTTTATACAGAAATAGATTTTATTAACCTCAACAATCTATCTACATTGATTTTCTACAGTTTGTTAAGCTTGAGCTTCTCTCTTGTTAGAGACATCATGCCTGAATGAATTTATGCGTACCTTTTAGGGTCATTTTTCAATCCGTCCGTCGAGCATACCTACCATGTTTTATAGGGAAGTCCCCCCCGGGACATAACTACACATCTACCAAAGTCATATTCATTTCATATATACACTGTTATTGCAGAGAGTGGGCTGTGACAATATTATTGACTCCAGAGCAGTTTTCGATAGATGTGGAGTATGTGACGGTGACGGGAGTTCATGTACACTCAGCAAGTCTAACAGCTCTGTATCCAAGAAAGACGAAATGCCAAGGCCAGCTTCCCTTCTAAACAACGCTGTGTCCTTTTTCAAGAATCTTGGATTCAGTGTTGACAGACGAGGCCACATTTCATCTCCTGAGCATAATCCCGATGTTGACGATACCTTCTATTGGGGTGTGGTGAAATCTGGATGTAGTGTGTCGTGTGGTGGAGGTTGGTACCCCTTTTTTATTAACCACTGTATAGGAGAACCATACAAGTACAACCTCTCTATTTTACGGACACGGATATATCACGGAGACCTCTATACGGACACATGACGGGCAACTCTATATTACGGACACCGATATATCTATATGCAAGAAATTACGAACACTTATACTTTACGGACACCTCTAGACTACGGATATCTGTACATTTCGAACACTTCTATGTTACTGACATTTCTATATTACAGACACCTCTATATTACGAACACCTCTATACTACAGACACCTCTATATTACAGACACCTCTATATTACAGACACCCCTATATTACGAACACCTCTATATTACGGATACCTCTATATACCGAATTATTCCTAGAAAAGCTAAGAGGTTTCACTGTTTTTCTTCGACATACTAACCAATAGTAATACGATATATAATTTTCTTGTTATCTTCTCATGTTACAGGCAAAGAACAATCTTTTGCTGAATGTCGACGAGCAGACGACGGTTCCCCGGTCAACGACGCACGTTGTGACATCAGCAAAAAACCTCCTCGGCAGCAAATACACTGCAATAGGCAGCCATGTCCACCATCATGGCGAGCGGAAGGCTGGGAAGACTGCACTAAGACTTGTAACGGTGGTAATCGTACTCGTGAGGTYAAATGTATGCAGGTAGCAGCCGATGGTGTTGARTATGATGTYGATCCACGACTTTGCACCRGTAAAAAACCAGCTACTATTGAAGCCTGTAATACCATGGATTGCCAGCCTGAATGGGTGGCGCAGCCTTTTGGAGCGGTGAGATTTAGAACTTAAAAAAACTTTTGAAGTCGTACAGATKGCAAACAAGCTACTGAAACTCCATCATCATCATCATCATCATCACATATCATTATCGTTATCATCATTACCACCACCATCTATATCATTATCAYCATCATCATCACCATCTATCATCACCATCACTTATTATCATCATCATCATTATCGAGTAAGGCATTCACTTTCTTATACAACTATTATATTTGCATGACTAGTGTTCGACAAAATGTGGTCGCGGTGTGCAAAAGCGTAACGTCATCTGCATGAAAACYGACAAGASCGACAACCAAAGAGAAGTCGACGAATCAAATTGTGATGGATTACCAAAACCACCAGACCAGGAATACTGCAATGTRCACAATCCATGTCCAGGGGAGGGTAAGTTMAAAATGTTGATTATCGATAGCAACCCCTCCCCCCTTCGAAAACGATTCATTATATAATAAATAAAAGACTARTGTACAGACTATAAATCTGTGAATCAATTCAGCCCTTAACTTCTTACAGACAAAAGTAGAATTTAAGATGGCCATAAAACTAGCAAAAAGAATACATACTAGTTTCTTCATCCACTTATTTTAGACACTTAGATGGTCCTCGACATAGTGCTTACCGAAAATATAACGGAGACAKCTCGTTTTTGCGGASACTTAMTTATGGACACAAAWTTTTCATATTTACGAGAGACGAGTGTGAAAAATAAACGAGAATTAATCTAGAAATAACTTCATTGTAGGAGGATGTGGCGGTAATCTAACGACTGATGCAGGTTCACTGACATCACCAAACTTCCCATCTGATTATCCTAATAATAAGGAATGTATTCACTCTATCCACGTGACTCCAGGAAAAGTGATCAAACTTGACTTCCATACGTGAGTATCATCATCATCATCATCATCATTGTCACTCGTGCATCAGTGATTTTCATATCACATCATGTACAGCCATTTCAGAAATTTTAAAGTACTGAAAATGGAGTATTCCAAAGCCGAAAGGAATTGGTGGTCGTCTAAGGTGTGATTGAATGCTTTCGAGTGACTTTGTAAGCTCTTCATCTTCAATTGATTAGTAGTGTAATGCAATTTAGTTTAGTAGTGTAACGCCATTTACGAGGAGAGCTCAACATCAACAATGCATTTCGTGCCTGTGGAATGTTTTTAAGTTTTGCAGGAATCAATAGACAAGGTTTATGAAATTGCTGTATACATCTTTACAGAATGCAAATAGCTTCACCAGAGAAAACAAGCCGAAATGAGAAGTGCACCGGGGACTTTGTGAAAATAATGGATGGAGAATGTACTAACTATAGAACAGAGACTCTCTACTGCGGCAAGGATGARCCAGCGCCGTATATATCAACTGGTAATAAGCTGTGCGTCAAGTTCTTTTCTGACCAATCAGAGGCKGGTCAAGGCTTCAAAGCTTCTTATATAGCAGTGGATAGACCAGAAAACCCCGGAGGTATGAAACTGCATTATTCACAGTCAGTAGAACACAGGGAATAAAGCTGTTAGATCACACAGGAATCCCAACWTATACATTCATATGTACGCATGCGCATGGGGTTACATAGCACAAATAATGGAATAAAGAGGGGTCTTTCCATATGTAATTTGAAAAGATGTTGATATAATCATACCTCTCAGTCATCATAAGCATCAACAATTATTAGGCATTGAAAAAACATTTTGCGCAATGTAGATCGGAAACCATCTTTCTTTGCTTATACAGACCAATGCGGAGCCACATTGACCGCACCCATYGGATTGATTACGTCACCAAACTACCCCGACTCATATCCAGGCAACGAAGTTTGCAACACTACCATCAAGGTTGCTAAGGCACCTCTGAAACTGGCCTTCCAAGCATTTGATGTCGGAAGCAACAAGTAAGTACAAATAAAAACTTCATAAAGCGGCCACATCTTTCCTTTTTTCGCTTACTTTACAATGCCCGTATTATGGAGATGACCATGTCATTCAGTGGATTATTCATTTGACGCTTTTAATGGTGTTTATTGGGACGATGGGTAATGAATGAATGAATGAAATGAAAAAATTTGTCAAAAATTCGCAAAAAAAAAAATTCATTAAAAATTTAAGGTGTCCCATAATTTACTGATATGCAATATACTCCTAACTCATCCCCCAGTTGTGACGAAGACTACGTCATGTTACAAGTCAAAGGAACTGATGGATTCCGTAAACTTTGCGGCAACAAACTCCCCGATCCTTTCAACACCGCGTCCAACGAGATGACGATTAGTTTCAAGTCWGGACCCAAAGTAGGTCACCCAAAAGCTGGATTTGTTGCGACATACACATCGGGAGTCACGCCAGGTAACACAATAGTTAAACRGAAGAAGTCACACGAGGTAACGCAATAATTAACCGTGATCCCTTGCGTGCTCAACGCCATTCCCGGGTTTTCTTTCCTATTCGAAGCATTAATTCCTTAAAAGTATCTCTTTGCATTTATTTCTGATTATTGTGGCCTTATAGAGACTCTGTAGCATATGCGAATGATTYAATACAAAGAAAGCTTGAAATTCTAGAAAAGCAGTTGTTTCTCAATCTCCCTCATTAAGAGTGTCGGATTCGGCAGGCTTTTTTAAAATCGTTGCYTCAATTATTGATACTTGGAGAGTTATGAGAGATAATTCTTTTCTGAATTTACAGAGGAACTTCGTCAACAAACAGATAAATCAGGAATCAAGACATTCAACTCTAAAATGGATCAAGGGCTTATGAACGTACCAGTCGCAAAAGGTAAAACAAATAGTCGATATTCTACTTTACTGATAGAATGAAGCTAAAAAAAATGGAACATGGTTTACCTTTCTATTATCTGGATKTTACTTTCATAGACACCATTCCTGGAAAACCAAAACCAAAATCCATTATCGAGATTCCAAAAGACATCGATGTCAACTTCAAACCTATTGGAAGAATCGACAGCAAAGACGGTGAGAACTTCATTTATTTCAGAGCAGCTATATTACTTAGATTCGTACATTTATTTGTTGATCTATAGTGATCAGTACTCCTTAATTTGCTGACTTTTCAGTGCTAAATTTATTCATCCATTTGTTCCTTAGCATCTAAAGAGGTCGTCGATGATATCTCTGATTCCAAGGGTGACGGTAAGCAGAAGGGAAAAACGCATTTGATTTGTCATTGTATGATTACTGAATTRCTGTAATTTTCCAGYCGAAGTAGARGATGCATTGGTAGGAAAAGCCAAGAAGTTACAGAATGGTAAGATGAACAATTTCTTAAAACATATGATGATGATGAWGATGATGATGATGATGATGAYGATGAYGATGATGATGATGACGGATCAAGGATATATTTCAGAATATTATTGTATTATGGCAGTTGAGAAAGTGTAGCGACGTCATATCCTACAAAAAAGTATGATGGAAGACGCTGCCCTCAAACTTGAATAATCATAGCAAAATGGTGATAGTAAAATATTAATGGATGAGGATAAGCATGATATGACAAATTAATGGATGAGACTGAACGTGATATGAAGAATTATTGGATGAAGGTAAGCATGATATGAAGAATTATAAACTTACTCGGGCTTCTGCTTCAGCACTTCACGAGTTAGACACAGCTCCACCAGATGCAGAAAGTGGAAGCGGTAATGGCAGTGGAGATGGTAGTGATAACGACAAATCTGAGCCTAAGAAAGAAACACAAGCTGATGAGACATCTGGAAGTGGTGATTCTGACATAGACAGTAAGCTCATTTTATAGAACTTTGCGATACTTTGAATCCCTCTTATAAGCCGACAACATGGCTGACTAGGGACTGAGACACTATAAGTCATACAAATACTGTTTCAAGAAATTTATAACTAGTAAAAGTCGTTAAAACGGATGACTTTTTACATTGGAATTTTCTTACACCACTCCCACACCAACTTATATATATTGACAATTAACAAAAACTGTCGCGAGCAACACGATGTTGCGCGCATTCAACATTCAACTAAAGCTTCAGGAAAAAAAATAATAATTTCACAAATTTACTGACGATTGTTTCAAAAAAGGCATTGACGACACTAACCCAGACACACAAGGCATTGACGAAACAAACCCYGACACTCAGTCGACAACAAAAGACGACTTAGCAGGAAAAAGTAAGTGATACAGTCAACTTTCGAATAAAGACAGCAACAGACGAACCGACGCACCAAGGACGGACTCGACGAAATTACGACACACAAACGAAACACATGACGCCTGGACAAACGAAAGTGAAGTGATATGATGGGAGGAGAGAAGCCTTAATACAAGGCTATATATATTTATTATATAGTTAATAAATGTGACCGAAAGAGAAAGATCGACGTTTCAATTTTTTGCATCTTCATTCAAGACAATTGATGTTTCTATAGTGAAAACCATTGAAAACTATAAAGCAATAATAAAACCTAATATTCTAAGTTCAATATTCAAGTAACATAATGTAAATACGGTATAATGACAAAAAAAAAATTGAAAAAAAAAATTGACGATATGAACTTACTAACTGACGACTAATTTACGACTTTCAAGCACGGACCAGCTCTGTCAGCTCTGCAAGTAAAGTTAAAACACATCCAGCGGCAGAGAGAGGTACTAATGCTTTCTAACAACATATCAAACGCATATCACTCCTATGTGGAAACCTTCTTCATGAACTTTTAACTTTTTAAAAATTTAAAGATTTTTATTGTTTCGTTTTTTTTTTAAAAACAATACCACCCCTACCCCCTGGGGAAAAATTCCTCACAAATTTCGCCTAAGGGGGGAGGAGTGGAAAATGTCTAGGCAGATTATGCATGACTATACAAGCTTCCACAAAGGGTTGATATTGACAACTGACTGACACTTACACACACTCTGACACATAACGCACATGTAATACTTAACATTAAAATAACACTAAATTATCAATAAATTTGCTAAGCTGTACACTCAAATTTAATATTATTGCATGTTTTTCATATGGCATTTAGTATTGATYTCTGTTGGATTCTAGCTAAAGTTTTACAACAGACCATTATGAAGATGAAGAAAGAGGGATTACTGGAGGCACTCACAGGATCAATCATAAACAGAGGTATCAGTAACACTAATATCAGAAAAAAATGATAATAGTCTCCTTCACGGTAATACCTGCGCCATCTTGAAAGGTAGCCATGCCTTTGCATCGAAGCGAGACAACCGTTGAGCATGCAATGATAGAAACCTTCTTACACACCTACAGAAAATTATTCACAGGTTTCTATCATTGCACACTTAATGGTTGTCTCGCTTCAATGTAAAGGCACGGCTACCTTTCGACATGGCGCATGTAACCGCGAAGGAGACTTTTGAATGTATAAGCCTTTTTCTACAGCAGTATAGCCCAGTATGGGATACCAAAGTCCATATCCCAACATATGCACATCATTGAATTATACTGACCTGTTAAAATGCAGGCTTAACAGGGTTGAAATTTTCAAAACTGCACCTGAATTACTTCATAKCTATAACTTCATAATGACGATGATGATAATCATATTTAATAAGAACTTCTACAGTCGAAGGAACATTATATTTGTTTATAAAAACTTYATATTCAGGGTTTCTTGATATTATTACCTCTAGGTTCATGTCCAGATACAACAAAGCTCTCTTGCTTAAACCTTTTGTACTCATTTTCCTGCAACAATGATGACGATTGCTTCGAGAATGGAATGACGTGYTGTGCKACAAGATGCACATATGGAAAAAAGATGTGTGTCCCTAGAGGTGAGAATTATAAACTGAGTAAATCCTAGTCCCCAGTTCTTCCTTGTTTCTAGCCTTACATGATGTCACTTACCAGCTTGTCCAGGACASAAATAAGGTTTCCAGGAATGCCTGGGTATACTGTGATGGTGTAACAACTGACTCCTGAAGCCGTAAAACAATAGRAAACAAAGGAATTGTCATAATGTAGCACTTTAGTATATTATTATTTTTTCCAAACAACTGTATATTTTCTGAGATTTCTTACATTAAAAAAACTGGAAAACTGCAAACTGGGCCTTTAAATAATCGATACCTTGTTGTTATATKATAATATTTCAAATGTTACCTCAGTTTCAGCTGTCTGTCCCTTACGACCACCATATTAYCAAGGTTACAAGCCATGYAAAGACTCAACTGATTGCGGTAAAGGAGCTATMTGCTGTTTAGATATGGCTGGAAGACACTACTGTAACACTGTTGTTGGGACATCCAATCTAATTTAACTGCAAAAATAAATCAAGTAAAGTATTTCAAAAAAGATGCTGTAGAGATCAATGGAAATCTAAGTGAATGAATAGAGATCTCCGCCTATAGAGATATGGCTATTCAACATCGATAGATTCCATTTATCAGTCATTGGACAACCTTTTTTGGTAGAGAAYTATCTACCTGGGTAGTATGACAGGGAATTCACATATATTGCAATGAAAATGCTGGAGTACAAGATTTGTGTCGGACAGATTGGCTAAAGAACAAGCAACATTGTCAAAACAAGAAAACCCACCATACAAAGAGTAATGACTCTTTATTGATGGCATAAGAGTGCATTGCATATTTCTGTGAAATACAATCTMAAAAGTTTCTAAATAATACTAAGTTCTTATTTTAAATAAGTGACTATTTTGATTATACTTCATGGACATTGAAATGCACAATTTAAGTTACTATTATACTTAAAAAACTTTTGACTTCCCAGTGTGAACGGGACTGCTAAAAGCAGCGACACAATTATCAGAATGAACCACTGAAAGGATGTTCAATTCACTACTAAGGAAGTATTTCAGTATTTCATAGTATTTTCTGAGAAATAATGAAATATCTTTTTCTCAATAAAATAAGATATAAATACTACTTTAATTTTAGACATTTGAAAAAATCATATAATATTTTAGCATAGTTTGTCATGTTAACTACAATTTTAGTGAAAATAGCAAATGACATCATATCTATTTAGAATAGTAAATAGCATTAACTACATGAAAGTTTTTGAGAAATACCTCACAAGTAAATAGTTATAGGATTTCACAGCAATTAGAAGCACAAAACTTAGAAAAGTAGATGAATCAATTTACAATTATTGTACAATTGTAATTATTTCAATTTATTATGAAAAAGTTATGTTTTGTAAACACTAGCGAAGTGAAATCAAACATGTAAAGTTGAAATATTTTACTAATAAAAGTAAGAAATAGATGTTTGTTATACTCCTCTCATCTCCTCAAAATGGTCAAAATTACCRCCAAKTTCATGTTCTAYACATGASGCCTATAAACAAGGTAAAGAAGTTCCAACAAAAACCCAAAGAATGCACAATACCCTTCATATGAGTGGGATAGATGAATAAAAAAAATACAGACTGCTAATTCAACATTAGAAAATGATCAACGATATTATTAATAATACAGCAACATGTAGAAATTATGATCATTTTGACTCAAGTATATTTCAAGTATATATGAAATATATCATAAACAATGAGATTTTATCCTTAATATTTTTTTCATAAAGTGCTAGTGTTAGGCAACTTCAATTTCTGATATTTTATATATACTCTGAATGAGTCAAAATGATCATAATTTCGGCATATATGTATTTCTGTATAAAAAAAATTCAATAATTATTTAAAAAATAACACAATATRTTGTAAAATTAGGTTCACATGAATTATGTATTGCTGTTCTTATAATTCCTTAAATAATAGCATTTATGTCATTGACTTTCCACCATGTGGGTGGCTCCTAAGAGAGCCGTTTTGTTTTGTATTGTGAGCGGCCAACACTTTACTTCTTGGCTGTCTTCTTGGCTGGTTTCTTGCCTGCCTTCTTTGCAGCAGGTTTTTTGGCTGGAGTCTTCTTTGCCGGCTTGGCTTTGGCAGCAGGTTTTTTGGTCACTTTCTTTGGTTTATCTGCTGATTTCTTTGATTTCTTAGCAGGAGACTTGGCTGATTTCTTGGGTGATTTGCTTGTCTTCTTTGAAGCTGGTTTCTTTGGTGACTTGGGTTTTTCTTTCTTGGCAGCTTTCTTGGCCGCGGGTTTCTTCACAGTCTTTTTCTTGGGTTTCTTTTCGGCGACTGCGGCCTTGTTCAACTTGAACGAGCCAGAGGCTCCTTTTCCTTTCGAGTGAACAATTGTTCCTTTATCCGACAATCGCTTGAGAGATAACCTGAGTTGAGAGGCACAATTGTCGTTAACCGGGTAGTTTGCTCTGATGTACTTCTCGATGGCTTGGCGAGATGATCCCGTACGATCTTTCAGAGATGTCAGAGCAGCCTTGATCATCTCTTTGTATGGAGGGTGTAAAGCTGGTTTCTGTGGCTTCTTGGCCTTCTTTGGTGAAGAAGCGGAGTCAGACATTTTGAAATTTACTATAGAAATTTTCCACGTTTCCGATCAAAGTGAATCAGTGAATGGTGGGCTGTAACGCCGTCATGTTATTTATACTCTCTTGCGAACCTCCACGGAAACAGCGATATAAGCTCGTTCGCAATGGCGGCCAACCAGTGTGCTTGTTAGCTGACTTTGAACTAATATCTTGAATTTAATATTGACTGATTTTCTGATCAATTAATTCTAAAAGAGACTATATGACACAAAGATGAGTTGATGCTATTTTCATAGAGAAACTCAATTTCTGCACCAAGTTAGAGAAGATTTCACAGTCAGTTATGAGTCGAACTTCACGATCCTGGTATTATAATCCCATCGATTTCTACTAAAATACGATAGTAAAATCCAGAAATACCAATAATTGTGCTTCTTTATTAACCTTTCTAACATGGAAGAATAAAAGAATGAATCCAAAATGTTTTCACTCGGTAATATTTTCATTTTTGTCCAAACAACAAACACAGGTCTTACTGSCTGTCTCGGATAGTTYGGATCTGTCAACGAATCGACTTGCTTGTTAAACGTCGGTTCATGAAAATAATCTTATTATGACATTCAAAAGAGACTAGAATATTTKCTAAAATAAGTGTTAAAATGCTTTGGGAACATTTTAAACCAATAGTAATATRACGCCTTGTTTTTGGTAAAACTTTTGATGATAACATCCGGKRATAACATGTGCCAAGAAAAAAATCCTAAATGTGCGGGAAGGTAATTTTCATACTGTCGTCATACTGACACGTGAAATWWTWAATRTTTTTGGCCTTGTCTCTTTCGCGCCAAAACGCAAAGTTTGGACTACGCAGTCTCTGCTTTCCGAGTATACTTTAGCAGTGATATCTCTCCTACGGCGCATATTGCGTTACAATCACAAAAATGTAAAAGAAATCTTGACCGTTGTTTTATCTCATAAATTCATAATATAACAAACTATGTGTAAAGTTGAGTTTTATTCCAAATATCTCAGCAAATATGTGAAGGTTTCTTTGGGTGGATATATACTTTAGAGTACTATTTYWTGAATTTATTCAAGCAAATGCGTCATTGCCTTTCAAGCAYGTGGTGGCTCCTAAAAGAGCCGTTGTTTTGTTTTGATTGGSAASTAGTCTAAGCTCTCTCGCCACGGATTCGGCGGGCAAGCTGRATGTCYTTGGGCATGATGGTGACTCTCTTGGCGTGAATGGCGCACAAGTTGGTGTCCTCGAACAGACCGACCAAGTAAGCCTCGCTAGCCTCCTGAAGGGCCATGACAGCAGAGCTCTGGAARCGRAGATCGGTCTTGAAGTCCTGAGCGATTTCACGGACGAGACGTTGGAAGGGAAGCTTGCGGATCAACAACTCGGTAGAYTTCTGGTAACGACGGATCTCACGAAGAGCGACTGTACCGGGTCTGTAACGATGAGGTTTCTTGACTCCACCAGTTGCTGGGGCACTTTTACGTGCTGCCTTGGTGGCCAGTTGTTTTCGTGGAGCCTTTCCTCCGGTTGATTTACGAGCAGTTTGCTTAGTACGAGCCATCGCTGTTCTGTAGTTCACTTGTGCTTCCAACTAAAATGATGAGTTTATTTTGGGTAATCTATTATTATATAATTTATGTTGCGCGCGCTTTGCTTTGATTGGATGGTGAAGTCTTGCACCACCATTGGGCAATAATTCAGCTACTTGTGTTCTGATTGGCTGCTTTTGGATCCCGCCGGTGTTCAAATTGTGATCATGATGTCACGCGTCTTTTGTTATAGCAGGAACCAATTAGATTTTATTTTATCGTGTTTCCTCGGAGGTAAGATAGTGCTGATAAAGCTTTGGGGTTCTGCAAATGTAAATCATTCTTGATCACTCGTTGAACAACCAAGCCATCATGACTGGAAGAGGCAAAGGAGGAAAAGGTCTAGGAAAAGGAGGCGCCAAGCGTCATCGTAAGATCCTTCGGGATAACATCCAGGGTATCACCAAGCCCGCCATCCGTCGTCTTGCTCGTCGTGGTGGAGTAAAGCGTATTTCTGGCTTGATTTACGAAGAAACCCGTGGTGTCCTCAAAGTCTTCCTTGAGAACGTGATTCGTGATGCAGTCACCTACACTGAGCACGCCAAGAGAAAAACCGTCACTGCCATGGACGTCGTGTACGCTCTGAAACGCCAAGGACGTACCCTGTACGGATTTGGTGGTTAAACATTGCTTTAATAGATTCAAACAACGGCTCTTTTCGGAGCCACCAAATGCTTATAAAGTCAATGTCATAATTATTCAAATAACTCAATTGATTGCTTGAACAAGTCATTCAGCTTACAAGCCTTTTTTTTAACGAGTTATTCAGTTAAGAATCGAAATATTAATGCGAAAGTAAGAGCAGATCTATTTTGCACGCATACTCGTTTGAAATACGGATATTGTTACCTCCGACAAAGGATTAACGTCCG